GTTAAGACCCTTCTCTGCTTTGCATCTAACCAATGGGGCAAGATATTTTGGGGGATTAAGGAATATCCACCCAGAGCTCACACCCAACCCCTCCATAAGCTGGGTACCCAGAACTAGAGAATTCCTGCCCAATGATCCGATATGTCTTCCAGGGCCCATGAAGGCCTTGTTCTTCATTCATTCTCCTGAGGGGTGGCTGGTGTATATGTGTGTGTTGGGAAGATAGAGTTTGGATGTGAGGGGTGGGGCATCTAGACATATGTACCCCAGACCCTTACAATGTAGGATGACTGGTGATGGGAAGAGAGGGGACAGGCCAATACCAGAGGCCTCCATTTATTTTCTTGTCCTGGCCAGGAGATGTTAAAGGCAGGCCTTTTGTGCAGGACCAAAAGGAAGGAGGAGATTGAAAGTCTGCCTAGTGCCCCCCACGTTTCTTTCCTCTCCTTTCACCTTCTTTTAAGCTCTTAACAGCATCCTCACATCATCACTTCTCCCCTCTCTGCAGCTGGCTTCCCAAACCATCCTTCTAATCTCTCTTCACCAAACTCCAGACTCCACCTTCAACTGCCTTCTTGTCTTCTCTCTCTGGAGGTCCCATCAGCACCTTGACTGCAGCATATTTAAAACGAGAAGGAAAATCAGAATCTCCCATGACCCACTTCTATTTTTGAGATCTCTGCTCTGGCTAATCACACCACCTCCATAATTAGCCAGGCAACTGTATTCAGAACCAATTTTGACTTCTTGCTCTCCTCTACTGCCCTCATGTAATAGATTTAAAACTAATTAGTTAACTCTGGATGTGAGGTGAAGTACCACCACGCTGAACCTCTAGCTCGCCTCCCTCCTCACAGCTGCTGCCTCCCAGGTAGGGTGAGGCAGGGTGGGGGAGGGGCGCAGAGTTGTGGTTGCTCACCTGCTCACCCAAAGGACCTCTCAGACTCTGTCTTCTCCTGCTCTGCTTTAACCCCCTACACCACCTGGCCAGGTTTGTGTTCCCAGAGGAAAGCAGAAACACTCATATCACTCCCCTGCTCAAAGGAGTCTCATTTCCTGATCAAATTTAGCAAAAACTCCTTAGCCAGTTATTTAATTTTTTTGTGTTTTTTGTGTAAAAAAGATTCTATATTTTTTATCAAACCATTGTGATCCATTAAGATCTAAAATACCCAGAAACCGATCTTGTGTTCTCAACTGTAGTGAATACATTTTTCTTTTTCTTTTTAAAATGTATTTAGTATTGTATTACACTTCAGGACAGACAAGAATTGGATATAATATGATGAACAGCATGTACTTACAATCCGGCTTTACCAAGTCCCAAGATCATGCTGTATTTGTTTCAGACTTTTTTTAAATTTAAGAACTATAACTTCACCAATATTGCAAAGGCTTCAGGGTATCCCAATTCCATCCTTCTTTTGCACCCAGAGACCACCATTACTGTGAAGTCAGTGTTTATTATTACCATACGTATGTTTCTACTACATACTTACGTATCCCAAAATATATCTCATTACTTTTTAGGTTTATAAACTTAAAAGTTATAACTTGAAAGTTATAAATAATTGAGGAATGACTTTGTTCTACATATCTTTTAGCACCCTTATCCATGTTTATTTCATTTAATGACTGTAGGTTATTCCACTGTATGAATATCTCAAATTTATTTATCCATTTCCCTTTGATGGACGTTTATGCTGTTTCCAATCCTTTGCTTTACAAAGAGTAAGTACATGCTTTGTCACAGGTGCCTCCTTATATCTAAGTGCAGGAGTTTCTCGAGGGTTTAAAAGTGGAATTTCAGGGTTACTGGTGTGACCAACTTCATCTTGCTGAAGAGCTCTGCACATTGTACCCATTTATGTTCCTACTGGCAAGATAGGAGGGCTCCTGCTTCTCCAGCTGTACTTGTGATCATCAGATTTATAAAATTTTGTGAATAGGGTCAGTGTGGAATTCGATCTCATTGTTGTCTTGATTTGCATTTCTCTAATTTTCTGTAGAGGAGGTTTTCTAGACAAGACACATGAAGTACAGACATGAAAGATCTGTGAGAGAGCTATACATTTCACAGTTCAAGAAGAAAGATACCATAGAATTAAGAGACAAGACAGACAGGAAGAATAGAAATGCAACACATATCACTAGTACACAAAATTAGCACTCAAAACGTATAAAAGGACTCTTGTGAATTTTAAAACAAGATGACTCCGTAGAAAATGCACAAATGTTATGAACAGGCGATACTCAAAAGAAGAATTCTCACACTGTCCTGGAACTCAGTAAACGTTCGCTGGTTATGACGTGAATGGAAGGAGTGGCCAAAGCAGATCTCTGCAGGTGTCAATGTCTTCACTGGGTTCCAGGGACACAGACTCCAAGATGGAACTGTGTGTGGGGGGAGTTTGATGAGCAGTGGTCTCAGGAGGCAATGAGGAAAGCGGGATTGGGCAGGGAGAAGTTGATTTGGGAACTCTGGAGCAGGACGGCCCTTCACAGGGGTCCTGAGCCGAGGCAAGGGGCTGGGCCTCTGTGTCCTTGCATCCACCAGTTACTGGTCACAGGCGTCCCCAGGGAGGGGAAGTAACCTTGGGTGGGGCAGGTCCCTTTGGCAGAGAGACTGTCCAAGGAGACTTTGTCCAAGGGGAAACTCAGCTGTGAGCCATCTGTGGCCTACACTCCTGGCAGCTGGGAGAATGAGGCGGGAGCTGGGTGGGGCACCACCACAGCATCCACTTCATCCACTATTAAGATCCAGTGAATTAATCAAAGTATCGTGATTAAGAATATTGGCCGTGGAGTCAGAGAGCCCAGAACCGAGTTCCAGGTCCACTACCTATCCAGCTAGGTAACCTTGTTACTCTCAGTCACGATATTCTTTCTTTCAACAAATATTGATTATCCAAGAGCACCTTCCTTGAGATTGTTGTGGGGAGTGAGTGAATAAAGACTCATAAAGAGTTCAACACAGCTCCTGGCACATGTTTAATGCTTGATGAACAGTAACTATTACTTATTTTCATTAATAATACTGGCAAGTAAAAGCCTGTGTTTCTTTTGCTCTGTCAGTGTAGTATAGCAAGAAACTTTCTGGGAATGTGTTCCTGTGGCTTTCTTAGATAAATGGAATACTCATGAGGTTAGTGGGATTTAAAGCAGGCTTATTCTCTAGTCTAAGTCGGTAAGTGCCTTAGCCATTTAATAAAACATTTCCTGGATTCATACTTAAAACTCAACTGACTTCCCACTCCTCAAGGCCAATTGTTATTTTTCTCTTCCTATTTTCATATGACTCAATTCCTATAACAAATGGGTAATCTCAGGCAAGAGAAATTATTCAAATGCCCCATCTCCACCTTGACTCTATCAGGTCACTATGGTAAAAAGCTTTAGACATGAGAAAATTATTTCCTTAAATTTTAGAGCCAGAATGGACCATAAGCCTTAAAGATTATCCAGGGTAGTGGTTTTTTATTTTCCTTCTTTCCTTCCTTCCACCCTTCCTTCCTTCATTCCTTCCTTCTCTCTGTAGTGGGAATCTACCTCTTCTCACCCCTGTCACCTTTTTAATAAATGAGATCTTGTGCAGCACCTATTATTTGGAGCAAGAAAACAGACCAGTTCTGGTTGGAGTGGGGATGAGGGGACAAGAATATGCTCCCTCTGTCTGCTCCTTGCAGTTCAGCTTTTACTATAGCTGTCCCTGATGTATCTCTTGGTCATGGCTTAAAAAAATCAAAATCAAATAAAAATAAAAATAAAAAATCACTGTGTAGTCTAAAAATTCATTGTAAAAATGAAGAAATGCCTATTTTCCTCCTCCCTCACTGGCTACTTCTCAATCTACTTTGCTGACTCCTCCTCTTTTTCTGCCACTGGGGCTCCTCAGGACTCCATTCTTGGACCTCTCCTATTTCTGAAGTCACATTTTGATGATTCTTTTCAGTCTCATGGCTTTTAATTCTGTCTGTATGCTATTGATTCCCAAATTTATATCTCCACTCTAGACCTCTCTCCTGAACTCCAGACATAGTCCCAACTGCCTAATTGACACCTTTCCTGGATATCTCGTAGCCCCAAATTAACATGTCCTGAATGGGACTCCTGGTCTTCTCATGGAAACCCTGCTCTGTTTTATTTAGTGCAACTCTGTCCTTCCAGGTGCTCCATCCTCAAAATCTTAAAGAGTGGCCCTTGGCTCCTCTCTTTCTCTTATGGTCCACATAGAAAGCATCAGGAAATCCTGTGGTCTCCACATTCAAAATATATTTTGAATCAGATCACTTCTCCTTCATTGCTATGAACCTGTCTCTTACCATCCTCAACTCTCATCTGGATTTTGCAATACTATGGCCTCTTAATTAGGGTGATAATATAATTTATCATCTGAATTGGGACACTTTGAAGACTCAGAGGGGAGGGACATTAATCGTTGTCCTGAGACACATTGCCCAGGATTGTTTTGGGCAAACAGAAGGTACGGTCACCCTACTCTAAACTCATTTTCCTTTCTCTTTTCTTTCTACCTTGAACTCTTGTCCCAGTATATCACAATGTAACCCTGTTCAACTCTAGTTTTAGATCATATCACACTGTTCTAATCCCTTCAATGGACTTCATTTCACTTAAAGGAAAAGCCGAAGTCCTTCCAAGGTTCTGTACCATCTGCTGTCCTCTGACCTCATGTCCTACTACTCTCCTCCTCTGCCTTTCTCTCCAGCAGCCTCTTTGCTGTTTCTCAATTGTACCGGACATGTTCCCACCTCAGGACCTTTGTATTAGCTGTTTCTCTGCCTGGAATGCAGACAGACATTTGCATGGCTGCATCCCTTAGCTCCTTCACAGGCCACTTGTCATTGAGGCCTATTCTTACCATGTTCTTTTAAATTATAACCACCCTCTTTTACTCCCCATCCCCCTTTCTTTGCTTTAATTTTTTTCATAGTACTCCTCTAACATTGTCTAATTTACTTATATTTATTTTCCGTTTTCAGCCAATAGACTGTAAGCTCCGTGTGGACAGGGGATTTTTTTCCCTTGGTTTCTGCTATACCTCCTGAGCCTAGAACAGGGCCTGGCATGTAACTGGAAATCAAAAAATATTTGTTGACAACTGAGTGAAGAAGGCAAAAGCCTCAGAAGGTTAAAGAGCCTCCCTCAACCCCTGGACAAGCTTGTGGAAAGTCCAAATCTGGATCTGGAGTCCCTGCCTGACCATCTCCAGGGGCTTTGTTTGGGACTATAGGACCCATGACATGCAGTGAGCTAACAAGACCAAACTGCTGATTGCTCAGCTGGGCTCTTATAACTGGGCATTTAATCTTGTTCAGATCTGGATGTCATTTCTGAAATCTGGGTACTGAAAATGACATTAGAAACAGATGAGAAAAATTCATGAAGAACTAATTCTTAGCAGAAATAATTCTTAGTTTTAAGAGCAGTGATGTGAAAATAAACAAAATCCTATTTAGAGGTTGATCTGAGAAGGATTTCTGCTTCAATCCTATTGAACTGGGGATTTAAAATAGCACTTTTCATGGTGAGTGCCTCAGAAAACAGAATAGTCCTAGGACATTGACTATGTTTATAGAGGAAAATTGTAAGCTGGAGGCTGGGCTCAACAAATGCTTGGAAATCTAGAAATCTCGGTGGTTCTACTTTCATCCTCTATTTCTTTGAAAATATAAATCTTGCCTTCCTGCAAATAGTAGGGTGATGAGTGAGTTGACTTTTCAGTATTAATATGCGAACTGCTGCTGGTAATGTGTGACTTTTTCCATTTCTTATGTCTAAAATGTCCTCCCCACACTCTTTCCTAAGTTCCTTCCAAATAAGAATCCAAGGTTAGTTATTTCCAATAGTTTGAAATATTTACATGTTGCTTTGTATGTTGTATGTTTTTAAAATTTTATTAAACTATTTTCATGAGAGTCTATCTTGTGTCTCTAGTTAAACTTAAAATCTTCTGAAGGAGAGGAGAGGTCACTATGTACCTTTTTTTTAAGTTTCTCTTAAATAAGGCTATTTATCATATAAGGGCCAGGAAGAGAATGAGAAAAACTTGATCCCACTTTCAGTTTTACTTTTACTACCTATGTAATCTCTCTGTAGTTTAGTTTCCTCATTTGTAAAAGGAGAATACTACTACTAATAATAAGAGTAATAAAGACTTCAGTGGGGAGGGCAGAATATGGAGTACCTAATGGATGTATTATTATCCATTGGGTTGCCTGTCCTGGACTCTCATTTTTGGTGTAACTGCCCCTTCCACTGCCTGGCTCCCACCCATCTGCCCTATTAAAATGGCTGGGCTCTTGTAAGGCTCGCTAGAGCAGTGTGACAACAGCCTCCCTACCCAGGGGATTGACGAAGGATGCATAAACGCCTGACCAAGGAGGCTCTTTAAATACTGGGATTAAAGACCAAGAAATTCCAATCTCCTACGGCCATCCTTTTAAACAGAGGAGAGGCAAACTCAGAAGGTTTTGGTGGGTGATATTTTTTCCACCATTCAGTGGAATCCGAGAGAAAGCCGCTCTTCAGTTAAAGAGAGTAAAATTAAAATAAATGAGAGAATGTGGGGGGGGGTTTCCTGGACTAGAGCATTCTACTTCCTCATTCTTCAGGCCCAGCTGCATTCCTGCCCTGAGGTCATTGAGAAGCCCTGGTATCCACAAAATCAATTACTATTGTTATTATTATTTGCTTTATTTAGCTTGCGTTGGTTTCTGTGACAACCAAAAGTATGCTGGGTAGTACATTATATGTGAAAATGATTTCGAAATTGGATGTAATAGATTCTTACGGAGAATCTCTTTTTCACTATGTTCCACATGCTCTTTTGATGCTTGAGTCATGAATGGCAGTAGAAACGTGTTAAGGTTTTGAAGTGAATCGACACCTTCACCTCCACTTTCATCCCTAGCATGCACAGAGCCATGTTTGGTTACCAGCTGGCACCAAATAACATTCCTTTACATTTAAAAAAAAATTTTTTTTTAAGATTTTTTTATTTATTCATTCGAGACACAGAGGTACAGAGAGAGAGAGAGAGAGCACAAGCAGGGGGAGAGGCAGAGGGAGAAGCAGGCTCCCCGCTGAGCCAGGAGCCAGACATGGGGCTCCATCCCAGGACCTTGGGATTATGACCCAAGCCGAAGGCAGATGCTTAATCATCTGACACACCCAGGCGCCCCAACATCCCTTTACATTAAATCAAGCTGATAGAGCTGCGCTGTGGGCTGAGAAAGGAATTGGGACTTCTGTGGTAGCAAGGGAAGATGGGGTCAGGGAAGTAAGAATGTGCAGAACCTGGGAATGACCGTTGCAACAAAAAGCCTCCCTAGAGCACAATTTTTGTGGGAGATGGGGGGGTCGGGGGTAGGGGGGGTGCAGGCACTGGGGGGCTGGGGACCTACCTACCAGTGAAGCTGAATGATATTACTTCACAGCCTGCTTTCAGAATCACTCCAGGCCAGAATTTGCAGGAATGCCGGGCTGTGCCTCCTATTGAACACTTGTACGTGGCCCATTTTGGTTTGGCTCCTGCCACTTCATAACATGACCTCTAAGAGCCAAGATAAAATGAGACCGATGTGCTTGCAGGGTCAGATGCAAAGATCTGTCAGTTGAACTCTTTTCCTTTTCATTTCATATTGAACTTTTACAGACTTTAAAAGAGGTTGTAACACAAAGGACCCATTCAAGGTTTCTATTGGAAAAAACTTGGTAGGGAAGTTGGAAACATGCATTTGCAAGCATCTTGGTTGTTTGCTAGCTATGGAGGATGCAGTTCAGAGCACGCTGAGCCTTTCTCCACACCTCCCACGTGCAAGGTCAACAGGATGCAGTTTTGAAATGTAGGTCAGGTTTGGGGGGGTGAGGCCCGGAGCCTACGGCCGAGAAAGAATTCTTGAGACATCTTTGGTGCAAAATGGTGGATTTATTAAAGCACAAGGACAGGACCCTGACTGCTACTTGATGCTCCCCACCCTCCCCACCCCCAGGATTATGAGGGGCAACTGATTATATACTTTGGGATTGGGGGAAAAGTAAAGATAAGGGAAGTTCCAAAAGGATTTTCATATGCTAAAGAAGACTCACAGGATACAGGAGGCCTTGTTATTGTCAAACTAAGGTTGCTTTTCCCTCTAGCAAGGCACTGATATTAAGACAGTTGGGAGCTTCCTGGAGGAACATTATACTCTGTCTGCCTCAAGTATTTGTCAATGGGCTGCAGGTTATAAGGACATTTAATTTTATCTACATTTCCTTCTGCCATTGTTTCCCACATCAAATGAATGAGGTTAACTACAGGCACTTGTGTTGGAAATAATTTGGGAGTCAGGGCAATGGTGAGCAACCTTCCCCTCCACGAGGAATGTTTGGCTGTGCATGGTGAATGTCACAGATGGTACAGAACTCTGAGCAAAACCACATTTCTCTGTCATCTATTTTTTTGTTAAGACGTAAGTGCCTCGCTTACAAGTTGAGCTGGATCTGTCTCCCATCACTGGAAAATGCAAGGAGGGAGAAAACGATGTGACGGAAAAATGGGTGGCAGAGTACACAACTTAAGCCATCTCCTGCTGAGAGGTTGCCCGTTAGCAAAGGAACAGGAAGGCAAAGCAGAATCCTGGTCAGAGTTAAACTGAATAACCCAGAGGAGAGCAACAGAGATGCCCTTAGTTGCAATTTCACTGTGAGAGAGTCCCACCATCTCCAATGGGGTGTGCAGAGGAAATTTGTTCCCCTCCAAACTTAGTTTCACTTCTCTCCACACTCAATGATTTTAACAGCTTTAAAATATCCTGAAAAACAGATGATCAAATGATTTTCTCTCCCCAAACTTCTCTATGACATGTTCTCTTTTAAATTTTTGATTATTGTCATTCTCTAAGAGTTCCCTGACCTGCCAAATTGGAGACACCAAATAGATTTGTGGCATTGCAAATTATACACAATTATATTGAAATTCAATGACTTGAGCGCCTGGGTGGCTCAGTTGTTAAGCGTCTGCCTTAGGCTCAGGTTATGATCCCAGGGTCCTGGGATCGAGCTCCGCATCGCAGGGCTCCCTGCTCAGCGAGAAGCCTGCTTCTCCCTCTCCCACTCCCCCTACTTGTGTTTCCTCTCTCGCTCTGTCAAATAAATAAATAAAATCTTTAAAAAAAAAAGGAATTCAATGACTTAGTGTTCAGAAGATAAAAAAAGTTATATTCTTTGGCTGGTCTATATATAAAACTAACAGCAGAAAGGGGTATATTATTAGCCATTCTCATACAGTATCAAATCCCAAGATAAGTGGTAATGCGCCGGGACTGATTTCTTTGCAAGTAATGAGTTATTACACAGTTAAAGGAGTATAACTTTGGGATTAGATTTGGGTGTGGATCTTGGCTCTGCCACAGCAAGTGTCATTTTGGGCAATTTAAATAAACTCTGAAAACCTCAGTTTCCTTTTTGGTAAATTGAGAGTAAAACTCACCTTACAGAGTTGTGATAAGAATGAAATGAAATAATAAATATAAAGCACCTGGAGTTCCTATAAGCCAATGAATATTACTACTTCCTACCTTATATGTACTCCCTCTTTTCCTCCAGGTTACATGTGCACCTAGCACACACTACCTCATTTTGATTCCTTCTGCCCTCCCCCCTCCAATTTATTTTTTAACTGATTTTCTCTTCAAAGGAGGCATTACAAAACAACAACAGAACTAGTGGAAACTAATCCCTTAGGAATAAGTTGATTAATTACTGCCGATCTTTCCCAATGTTGAGGGCAGTACCTCGTTTTTGGTAGGTGCTCAAGCTTTTGATTAATTGATTGATTGTACACCAAATACATTAATCTAAAATTTCAAGCTTTATTTTCGAAGGAGCAGCCACAGTTTCCAAGCAAGGAATTAAACCTTTCTTTAAAAAAATTTCCTTGTCTGAAAGGGTACTATGATTGGTTCCAGAGAATAGAATTAGGGACAGAGTTGGTCCTAAGGAAGGGAATTTCAACTCAATTTTAAAGAACTGTTTACCAATTAAAATTGACCTACAGTGGGTATATTAGATGATGAAATGATCTTAAAACACTCA